TGGAGCCGCCAAAATATTCCTGGCGGAGGCCTCTGAGAAACTGGGTACGATGCTCACCTTGAGAGACCTGCCTTTGAAGGACAGAGATATGACGCCGACCGGAGTAAGATGGGACTTTTGGGGAATTCGGAGATTTATGAACAATGTATAGATAGATGCACATAGAACAGCATGCCCATCCCAAACAAAAGACCATTCATACCATATTGGAATACTGCTATGGCTTGCATCCTATGGAAACCTGGAGTTTCTATAGTTTTGGGGAGATACCTACTCTGCCAGAGAGTTCCTTCACCAAAGGACAGATCCCAAGATACCACAGGCTGCATCCAGAGGAGTTTATGTTCTTTCTTTAATGCAAATATTATCCAACTGATACAAAGAAAGTAGTGTCAAGGTTTAGCATTTTGCAAAACTAAATCTAATCCAGCACAACAACCTGCACTAATATACACATACTGAACACACAGCCAAAGAAACCGTTCTATGTGCCTCGCACTCATTTGACCCTCTGACCCTCTACTCCCTTAAGATAATATTATATCAAAACACTTCTCATTTTAATAACATTAATTCAAAAACCCAGTTGATATTTGCCCTCTTGGTGATAAGCAAGTACCAGTCTTCCTTGACCAATTCTCTTCTTCCTTCTCCTGCTGCTGCTGCTACTTCTACTCTTTCTCCTTTGACATTAGTCAGAGGTTTCTTCTTAATCCACTTCCTCCTACTACTACTCCTCCTCCTCTTCCTCTGTAGCAAGAATACTTTTATGCTCAGAGATGGAAGGAAAAAGGAGAAAGATAAGAAGAATGAGGAAGAAGAAGTGGATTAAGGAGAAATCTTTGACCGATGTCAAAGGAGGAGGAGGAGGAGAAGCAGAAGGAGGTGGAGGAGGAGGTAAAGGAGGAGGAGGGGAAAGAGAAGGAGGAGGAGAAGGTAAAGGAGGAGAAGAAAGAGAAGGAGGAGGAAGAGGAGAAGGAGAAGAAGGAAGAGGAGGAGGAAGAGGAGGAGAAGCTAGAGGAGGAGGAGAAGGAGGAGGAGGAAGAGGAGAAGGTAAGGGGAGAGAAGAAGAAGAAGAGGAAAGGAGGAGGAGGAAGAAGGAGGAAGAAAAAGGAGGAAGAAGAAGAAAGGAAGAGACGTCTTGATGCTCTTAGGCACTCTATTGCTCCAGAAGTGTGCTGTCGCGCCTGAGGGCTATAACTCTTAGTGAAAGAAGCATGGACGTGACATCTTTCCCCAGGGGATTGCTTCTTGCCCTCCTTTAGGAAAACTGGAACTCCCAAGGACCAAAACACTATAGATAACTCAAAATAGGTTTAATTGTTCACAAAGAGTTATCCCTTTAAGGCAATAAGCTGGAAGTTTCAAAGGGGTAAAGGAAAATATACATTACAGTCTCTGGTTGTCTTGGGTCCAAGGAGTTTTGCAGCTGAGAAGCTTTTCTAGGTCCCTCTTTCTCAATGGCTGTGAATATCAAAATAATCACAACCCCAATTCTAATGGCCTATATTTTGAAGGCACAAAGCCTTCCTCTGGTGCCAAAGAACTGGTTTGAAGGCGCTTGAGCCTTCTCAACATCATCCAGGTTGATCTGAACATGAAGCATAAGTCTCAAGGGTAAGAACCTCAGAATTGGTGCTGAGAGGTAACTTAATCAAGGGCTTCAGAGCCAAGTCTCTCACATCCATCTGATAGAAAGTTTGATGGTGGAATGGAAAAGGAAACTGTCCTGCTCTCTAGGAAGAGTTGGGGTCAAACAATTGAGCAGGAGGAACAATTCAACTGGTTCAAACAACATTGATTGACAGCTATAAAAACCAATCAATCCAACTATACATTTACAGGGTAAAAAGGCAAAATCAGGCATGATACAACAGTTCAAATCCTGCAACTTACAGTTCTACATATAGGTGGCACAACTTGCACCATCACATTGCAGTAATCGTTCATGTTTTGTTTCCAGTTGATCATCAACCCTATTGAGATTTATTTGCCCAGTTTGCTTTGGAGCTTTCTTTTTCTCCTTCCACAATCGGATAACCATTTTTTACATAACTCTATTTCAGTGCACGATTACAGTCCGGGTTTGTGTCTCTCCTCCTGAACCTGCTCCGCGCCCAACTTCTGATATGTTGAAATATGATTTGCAGAAACTCAGTGAGTAGCAAAGATTTCTTAGCACCATCATTGGGTTCATAAGGGACAAGTAAGCCACGGGTTGGCAAAGGAAGCTTGCAAATAATGGAGCAGGTGATGGTAGTTTAAAATGATCAAAATGGTGATTCTTGGAGAGATGCTAGTCCTCATTGGATGCCAGTTTGTGCAAGGTTTCCTTAAATTATTTTAATCAATTCAAAACATTCTATTTTAACATTTATATTTTTTAAGTTTTTTCTGAGATGCATAGTTTTTCAAGATTGGGAGACACTTTGGATCTCATTCCTGAGATAAAAGCAAAGTACACATTGATGTAGTTATTATTATTATAATAAAATAATAGTTGCAACATTGGAGAGGGCTTCTGTGTCACTGAATGTTGGACAAAAGTGTTGAGTATCATCAGGTGTTGCTTATCGTGCAGGCAGGTAGCAAGTCACACCTGTTGGGACCTCACCATTTGTCCTGAAAGTGTCAGGATCACCATATCAGCCTGGAACTGGCTGCTTCAGTTCTCCCGTCTTAGAGAAGGGAGGTGGAGGGAAAGGAGGCTGGGTACAGGGAAGGTAGTGTAAATAAGACATCTGCTCTGTGAGGGAAATAGAAATTGCAAATAATAATAATAATAGTAATAATAATAATAAAAACTTTATTTATATACCACTCCATCTCCCCGAGGGGACTCAGAGCGGTTCCCAAGTAATATCACAAAACATACAGAGTAAAAACAACATAACCATAAGATTAACAAACAAAATATAAACATAAAAATTGTCGCCATAACACACATATATTAAAAGTAATCCTGCCTGTTCAAGGCAATTAAAAATTAAAAAGGCCGGGCCAAGATTTGTGCAAGCCCAAAAATTCTAGGGGGCCCGGGAATTAAGTGCAATGCTATGGCAGGTAACAATAATATTAGGTACGGGTCTGTGGCTGTTCATTCTGGGGTCGATGAGAGGAAAGAATCTGGGTAATTGGTAGGAATAATAAGGCCGTATTAGACAATGTGTAGGGCTGAGTTAGAATTGGTCATTTTCAAAGGCTTGTTGAAACCACCAGGTCTTCAAGCTTTTACCAAAGGAGGGGCGGGATGGGGCCTGTCTTATTTCCCTTGGAGGGCGTTCCAGAGACGGGGGGCCACCACTAAGAAGACCCTCTCTCTCGTCCCCACCAACCGTGCTTCAGAGGGTAGTGGGACCGAGATGAGGCTCTCCCCAGAAGATCTTAGAGCTCACGCCAGTTCATAGAAGGAGATGCGATCGCGGAGATAGGCAGGGCCCGAACCGTTTAGGGCTTTATAGGTCATGACCTGCACCTTGAATTTGGCTCAGCAACTTATCGGCAGCCAATGAAGCTGTTTTAATAGGGGTGTTGTATGCTCCCTATAGTTTGCTCCAATAAGGAGCCTGGCTACCGCCCGTTGTACCAGTTCAAACTTCCGGACCATCTTCAAGGGCAGCCCCACGTAGAGCTCATTGCAATAGTCCAGTTTGGATGTAACCAAGTCGTGGACCACCCTGGCCAAGTCAAACTTCACGAGGTATGGTCACAGCTGCTGCACAAGTTTGAGTTGTGCAAAGGCCCTCCCAGCCACCGCTGACACCTGAGCATCAAGCGACAGTGTTGAGTCCAGGAGGACCCCCAAGCTACGGACCTGCGCCTTCAGGGGGAGTGTAACCCCATCGAGCACAGGTTGCCACCCAATACCCCGGTTGGTTCCGCGACTGACCAGGAGGACCTTTGTCTTGTCTGGATTAAGCTTCAACCTGTTAGCCCTCATCCAGTCCATCACAGCCGTCAGACACTGGTTCAGGGTCTGGGAGGCTTCCTTGGAATTCGGTGGAAATGAGTAGTAGAGTTGGGTGTCATTTGCGTACAGATGGCACCCAACTCCAAAACTCCGGATAACCTCACCCAGCAGTTTCATATAGATATTGAAAAGCATGGGGGATAGAATAGAACCTTGCGGGACCCCACAGGTCAAAGGCCACGGGTCCGAGCAGGTATCCCCCAGCTTCACCAACTGGGAGTGACCTTCCAGGAAGGAGCAGAACCACTGCAGAGCAATGCCCCCAAGACCCATTCTGGAGAGCCGCCCCAGAAGGATACCATGGTTGATGGTATCGAAAGCTGCTGAGATATCCAGGAGAACCAACAGACACACTCCCCCTGTCAAGCTCTCTTTGGAGGTCATCTACCAAGGCGACGAAAGCCGTCTCAGTACCATGGCGAGGTCTAAAACCAGACTGTGATTGATCTAGATCAGTGGTTCTCAACCTGGGGTCCCCAGATGTTTTTGGCCTACAACTCCCAGAAATCGCAGCCAATTTACCAGCTGTTAGGATTTCTGGGAGTTGAAGGCCAAAAACATCTGGGGACCCCAGGTTGAGAACTAGATAGTTGGTGTCATCCAGGAATCCCTGGAGTTGGGAGGCAACCACCCGCTCTAGAACCTTGCCCAAGAAAGGGAGGTTAGAAATTGGCCGGTAGTTATTTAGGACCGAGGAATCTAGGGACGCCTATTTTAACAAACTGTGGGCACAGTGTTTGGCCACTAGAGGGCGGGTGGGACTTGAGCTGTTATGTATTACAGGGTACTTGAGCTGGAAACTTTAGAACTGTCTTTTAGGGACTGAGGAAAGAAGGAAATAAATCATTTGTCTCCAGCATATTGTTTTGAGTTTGATTTCAACTCCAAGATCTTCCAGAATCTTACAAAAAGTGTTGCTTCTTTTAATGAACATTCACATCCGTTTAGAGATGGTTCCAATATTTGCTAAATGTGCCATATCAATACAGTGACTACAGAACTCTTTCCTTGCGGTCCTTGCCAGTTTGCTGCCCCATTTGTGCCAAGGAGTCCGTCCTGGAAGAAGTGGGTCCAAAGGAGATGGGTACCATTGAGTTGCCAAAGACCGCCATGAAGTTGGCAATGAACAAAAAGCAGGAATTCCAGGTAAGGCAGCCCAATGTATTGTCAAAGGCTTTCATGGCCGGAATCACTGGGTTGTTGTAGGTTTTTTCGGGCTATATGGCCATGGTCTAGAGGCATTCTCTCCTGACGTTTTGCCTGCATCTATGGCAAGCATCCTCAGAGGTAGTGAGGTCTGTTGGAACTAGGAAAAGGGGTTTATATATCTGTGGAATGACCAGGGTGAGACAAAGGGCTCTTGTCTGCTGGAGCTAGGTGTGAATGTTTCAACTGACCACCTTGATTAGCATATAATGGCCTGACAGTGCCTGGCAATCTTTTGTTGAGAGGTGATTAGATGTCCTTGTTTGTTTCCTCTCTGTTGTTGTGCTGTTGCAATTTTAGAGTTTTTTAATACTGGTAGCCAGATTTTGTTCATTTTCATGGTTTCCTCCTTTCTGTTGAAATTGTCCACATGCTTGTGTATTTCAGTGGCTTCTCTGTGTAGTCTGACATGGTGGTTGTGAGAGTGGTCCAGCATTTCTGTGTTCTCAAATAATATGCTGTGTCCAGGTTGGTTCCTCAGGGGCTCTGCTATGGCTGATTTCTCTGGTTGAAGGAGTCTGCAGTGCCTTTCATGTTCCTGGATTTGTGTTTGGGCAACGCTGCTGCGTTTGGTGGTCCAGGTGGTCAGTTGAAACATTCACACCTAGCTCCAGCAGAAAAGAGTCCTTTGTCTCACCCTGGTCATTCCACAGATATATAAACCCTCTTTCCTAGTTCCAACAGACCTCACTACTTCTGAGGATGCTTGCCATAGATGCAGGTGAAACGTCAGGAGAGAATGCCTCTAGACCATGGCCATATAGGTTCTTGTGGGTTTTTTCGGGCTATAGAGCCATGTTCTAGAGGCATTCTCTCCTGACGTTTCGCCTGCATCTATGGCAAGCATCCTCAGAGGTAGTGAGGTCTGTTGGAATTAGGACAATGGGTTTATATATCTGTGGAATGGCTGGGGTGGGGCAAGGAGCTCTTCCCTGCTGCAGTTAGGTGTGAATGTTTCAGCTGATCACCTTCATTAGCATTTGAAGGCCTGCCTGAGCCTGGGAAAATCTCTTGCTGGGAGGTGTTAATCTGTGCCTGGTTGTTTCCTCTCTGTTGTTTTGCTGTTGTAATTTTAGAGTTTTTTAATACTGGTAGCCAGATTTTGTTCATTTTCATGGTTTCCTCCTTTCTGTTGAAATTGTCCACATGCTTGTGGATTTCAATGGCTTCTCTGTGTAGTCTTACATGGTGGTTGTGAGAGTGGTCCAGCATTTCTGTGTTCTCAAATAATATGCTGTGTCCAGGCTGGTTCATCAGGTGCTCTGCTATGGCTGACTTCTCTGGTTGAAGTAGTCTGCAGTGCCTTTCATGTTCCTTGATGCGTGTCTGGGCGCTGCGTTTGGTGGTCCCTAGGTAGACTTGTCCACAGCTGCATGGTATACGGTAGACTCCTGCAGAAGTGAGAGGAGCTCCTTACCCCACCCCAGCCATTCCACAGATATATAAACCCATTGTCCTAATTCCAACAGACCTCACTACCTCTGAGGATGCTTGCCACAGATGCAGGCGAAACGTCAGGAGAAATGCCTCTAGAACATGGCCCTATAGCCCGAAAAAAACCCAAAGGACCTAGTGATTCCGACCATGAAAGCCTTCGACAATACATGGCCATATAGCCTGAAAACTTACAGCAACTCAGTTGTTCTTTATTTACTGTTATAAGTTTAGAGTTTTTTTAATGCTGGTAGCCAGATTTTGTTCATTTTCATAGTTTCTTCCTTTCTGTTGAAATTGTCCACATGCTTGCGGATATCAGTGGCTGCCAACTCCAGAGCAACCTTGAAAATTGTGCTTCTTGCCAAAAGTGCTTCCAAGACATAACCATCTGCAACGAAATCCTCCAAAGTAGCCATGGGAATTGTGCCTTTCAACCAAAAAGTCTTCAAAGGTATGACCAATGTGACCATCTCTCCGCTTTGCAGGTGCGGGTGCGAATCCTGGAATGCCGGCAACTGCAGGAAAACAACATCAAGCCAGTGGTGAAGGTGTACATCGGGGACCACGTCTTCCGGACACGAATCAAAGCTGGGAATAACCCTTTCTACAACGAGGTGGGCTTGGTCTTGAAGAAGCAGGGGGATCCCATGAGATCTAGAGTAGGCATGGGCAAACTTCGGCCCTTCGGGTGTTTTGGACTTCAACTTCCACAATTCCTAATGTATTGAACTGAATGATGATTATGTGGAAAAAATAATGTAATCCCAATGCTACAATTCCTGTAAGTTTTATTAAAATAATATTCATTCTTTGTATTTTAAAAAAATATTGTAACCTTGCTTTCTGGATAACCCTCATATTATTACCATGGTTTGGATTTCTCTATTTAAAGCAATTTTTATTCAAGAAAAATAAACCAAAACAAAACACACAAGCTGATATTTTGGATATATACAATTGAAAACAACAGAACGACATACTATGATATTATAGAGCCACACTTCCAATTTACTAACATTCTACGAATTCATAAATCCTGCAATAACATTTAGCCTATTGTTGTTAAAATGTAATGAAGACGTAGGGAGCCCCTGGTGGCGCAGCGGGTTAAAGTGCTGAGCTGCTAAACTTGCTGACCGAAAGGTTGCAGGTTCAAATCCGGGGAGCGGCATGAGCTCCTGCTGTTAGCCCCAGATTCTGCTGAGCTAGCAGTTCGAAAACATGCAAATGTGAGTAGATCAATAGGTACCACTCCAACGGGAAGGTAATAGTACTCCATGCAGTCATGATGGCTACATGACCTTGGAGGTGTCTATGGACAATGCCAGCTCTTCAGCTTAGAAATGGAGATGAGCACCAACCACCAGAGTCAGACACAACTGGGTTTAATGTCAGGGGAAAACCTTTATCTAATGAAGAAGTCCCAACCCTTTCTTAAAGTTGCTCACTTGCATACACCACAGAGAAGGTGGTACCCTTACTTCCATAGATCTGGTTTTTCTTTTTATCATTCTTCTTGTACAATATAAGAACCTGTCTTGTTTACAAGTGGAAACTGCACTATTTGAGTATGTGGCAACCAATACATAACCTCCCCATTACAGGAATAACTTCAGTTGGGTCTAGCACTGTGTTTCTCAACCTTCCTAATGCTGTGACCCCTTAATACAGTTCCTCATGTTTTGTTGACCCCCAACCGTAAAATTATTTTCATTGCTTCTTCATAACTGTAATTTTGCTGTTGTTATGAATCATAATATAATACCTGATATGCAGGATATATTTTCATTCACTGGACCAAATTTGGCACAAATACCCAATATACCCAAATTTGAATACTGGTGGGATTTGGGATGAGAGATTGATTTTGTCATTTGGGAGTTGTAGTTGCTGGGATTTATAGTTAACCTTCAATCAAAGAGCATTCTGAACATCACAAATGATGGAATGGAACCAAACTTGGCACACAGAACTCCCATGACCAACAGAAAATTCCGAAGGGTTTGGTGAGCATTGACCTTGGGTTTGGGAGTTGTAGTTCACCTATATCCTGAGAGCACTGTGGAGTCAAACAATGATGGATCTGGACCAAACTTGGCACCTATACTCAATATGCCTAAATGTGAACACTGGTGGAGTTTGGGGGAAATAGACCTTGACATTTAGGAGTTGTAGGTGCTGGGATTAGGCCTGGGTAACAACGCAAAAATTTGTTTCTAAAATCGATTTGTATTTGGGGGGTTTTGCGTTTCGATATTTAAAATAATTACAAAACTTTCCTTTAAAAAAGTTCAGTATTTACGAAATTTCGTTAATATTAACGAATCGATTCGTTAAGATGGCGGACCCCCCCACGCATGCGCAAATCACCTCTGAAACTTTGTTATGAAAACGGGGGTCGATTCGTTAAGGTGGCAACGAATCGATTCGTTGAAAAAGAAATATTTATCAGAAATATTTAAAAATGGAAAATTAACAATGCTTGCCCTGTTGTGGAGCGAACACAGCCACAGGACAGGGACAAACACACACACAGGCACACAAGGGTCTTTTCTTTTTTTAGAATATTTTTTGAATTTTTTTAAGAATAAAAGAAAGATATTTTCAGAAATATTTAAAAATGCTTGCCCTGTTGTGGAGCGAACGGCAAAGCCTCCCCGCTGCTCCCAGCCCAGGGAATGAATGAATGCAAGCAATGAATGAATGCAAGCCAAGCCTCCCTCCCGAACCTCCCGTCTCCTCGCCTTCCCCAGCAATGAGCAATGCGGCCACGCGGAGCTGCTTTTAAAGGGCAGCCCGCCCAATCACAATCAGCCACGGTGCTTGGGAGCGCAGGATTGGCTCCCAGCGCACCCAGCATCCTCCATCCCTAAAACGTCATTTCCGAAACGGGCGGAAGCCCGTAAAAAAGATGGAGGATGCCGTTTCGATATTTAAAAACACTTCCGGGTTTGAAAATATGTTTTGTAATCGTTTTGTAATTGTTAAAAATAACGAATATTTAACGAATTACAAAATTAACGAACGAAACCACCCAGGCCTAGTATCTGGCCCTACTCACAGAGCTGGACACAGAACGATAGCATTGGGCTAAACTTCCCATACAGAACCCATATGATCAACAGAAAATACCGTGTTTTCTGATGGCCTTTGGCGACCTCCCTGACACCCCCTTGCAACCCACCCTCAGGGGTCCCGACCCCTAGGTTGAGAATCATTAGCTACCAAATAGATTTACTTTATCGTCTCCACCCTAAATGTCCATCAAACCTTAAACCCACTCTTCGCTTCCTTCTGTTTATTTTACCTATGTATTTATTTGTCCTGCAGATATTTGTCAAGAACTTTAAGGACATGCCTCTTCGACTCTTTGATCAATTCATTACCATACAGGCAAGCCAATCATTTCTTACACAAAATACTCCGCAATCCAAAATTATCCACATAGGTTAACTGAGGGGGTGATGCCTTTGCTTTTGGGTGGTTCGATGGACACCAAGTTTGTTCCGTGTGCAAGATTATTTAAAATATTTTGCACAAAATGACCATCAGGCTATGGTGCATATGAACCATCAGTAAATTATCTCTGAAGGGGTTAATGAAGCTTATCGGAGTGCAGAGATGTTAAAATGCTGAAATGCAAGCCTAAGAGAGAGGTTTGTCCTCTGGCCTACAGAGGAGCGAATGCCAAAGAGAGATAAAGTATTTAGAAAACACAGGATGCTCAGTATGTACACGTATTCCAAGAGCTTATCGTTCCAAGAGCTTATCGTGGCAGTAGCATTGGGAAGATATAAGTGATAGTTCTATTGCTTTAGGGTGGGAGAAGAAGACATTTACGTTCATGTACATGACCTATCACCAACATGTAAAAGATATAGCTATGGTAGATGGTGGATTTCCAGGTGATGATTGCCATTTCCTTAGGTCCTGAACTCCAGAGCCATAAGAGCGGATTCACTCATTGGAGTATTCAAGGTGAGCGTCTCCTACTTTGGGTCATATCAGATGTGACGCATATCATGGTTTCTCTACAGGCGCTCTCCAAGTGGATAGGCATGTGGGTTGTTGTGAGTTTTCTTGGCTGTATGGCAATGTTCCAGAAGCATTCTCTCCTGATGTTTTGCCCACATCCAGGAGAGAATGCTTCTGGAACATGGTCATAGAGCCCAGAAAACTCACAGCAACCCAGTGATTTTGACCATGAATGCCTTTGACAACCGATGTTGTTGTTCATTCGTTCAGTCGTCTCTGACTCTTCGTGACCTCATGGACCAGCCCACGCCAGAGCTCCCTATCGGCTGTCACTACCCCCAGCTCCTTCAAGGTCAGTCCAGTCACTTCAAGGATGCCATCCATCTTGCCCTTGGTCAGTCCCTCTTCCTTTTACCTTCCACTTTCCCCAGCATAATTGTCTTCTCTAGGCTTTGCTGTCTCCTCATGATGTGGCCGAAAGACTTCAACTTTGTCTCTAGTATCCTTCCCTCCAATGAGCAGTCGGGCTTTATTTCCTGGAGGATGGACTGGTTGGATCTTCTCGCAGTCCAAGGCACTCTCAGCACTTTCCTCCAGCACCACAGCTCAAAAGCATCTATCTTCCTTCGCTCAGCCTTCCCTAAGGTCCAGCTCTCACATCCGTAGGTTACTATAGGGAATACCATGGCTTTGGCTAGGCGGATCTTTGTTGCCAGTGTGATGTCTCTACTTTTTACTATTTTATCGAGATTGGACATTGACAACCGATAGGCATGTGTTTGTCATAGCATGGATGTTCCTCACCTCTATATCTGTTGGGGTTCAGCCTGGGTGTGAACCTGAACCTGATTCTCTGATTGTATTTCCTGATGCCACTGAAAACGTTGATTCTGAGGTCAGTGTAGAAGAAACTCCTGCAGGCTTGGAAAGTGAAAGTACACATTCTCATGAGAATGTTTCAGAGCCAAGCAGTGATAGCTCTCCAGAGAAGCTAACACCTGGGATCTTTAATGAGGATAGAAGAAGACAGATTTGGCAAAACAGGGGTGAATTGCAGAGTCTGCGAAGGTCAGCCAGATTGAAAGAAAAAGAAACAAGGGCTTCAAAGCCTGGAGGCGTGTCATGAAACAGATTCCTCGGCTTTAAGTGCCTCTCGCCAGGTTGACTCTTTAGATCAGGCATTGTTTTAGACTGAGGCATTACCTTGGCATATCTCCCGTTTCCCGTGGCCTTCATCCCAAGAGGCTTCTAGTGCTCCAAGTACGGTTAGTGGATTGCTTTAATTCTTCTTTTCCTTTTCTTCATATTCCTCTACAAGAGACCAATTTGTCTAATCAGATTTCCTGAATTCTTCTTTAATAAAAAATTATTTTATCCATTTCTTGAATCTCCCTCACCTTATTTATCCACTGCTCTATACCTGATGTTTCCTCCCATTTCCAGAGTTTTGTGTAGCCGATCCTACACCGTGTCAAATATGTAAATACAATGTCTTCATTTAAGTCCAATCTTAACTCTGAATCTAATATGCCTAATTAATAATATTCAGGTTTCTTGAAAAAAATCATAAAGATTTGTTGGCATTCCTCATGCATTTGTTTCCAATATTTTATGGCTTCTTTACAAGACCACCACATGTGGAAGAAACTTCCTTCATGGTGATGACATTTCCAGTAATTCTTTTCTGTGTTCTTCTACATCAAGCTATTTTTTCGATGTTATAGGCAGGATATATTTCCATTCACTGGACCAAATTTGGCACAAATACCCGATATGCCCAAATTTGAATACTGGTGGAGTTGGAGGGGGGAATTGATTTTGTCATTTGGGAGTTGTAGTTGCAGGGATTCAGGGATTTATAGTTCACCTACCATCAAAGAACATTCTGAACTCCGGCACCAATGATGGAATTGAAGCAGACGGCACACAGAACTTCCATGACCAACAGAAAACACTGGAAGGGTTGGTGGGCATTGACCTTGAGTTGTAGTTCCTAAGGCCATCAGAAATATGTGTTTTCTTATGGTCTTTGGCGATCCCTCTGCAATACCCATTCGAGCCCTCCAGGGGCCGAGATTCCCAGGTTGTGAAACGCTGTCTTAGAACATTTGGAATGATGGTATACAAATAATAAAGGTTTCCAGGTTTTGCCATTTGGAAACAGTGAATTTTTCTTCCCATTTTGCTGTAGCTGCCTTTCTTTGGTTGGGCGTAGCGTAATGTCTCCTATGTGTTTTCTTTACAGATTGAGATGGGACTTGTGTACAATTCCCCAGGTATGCTCATGCAGAGACGGCTGCAAATTATGTGTCTTTGAGTCCATTAATGTAGTTTGACATCCCTTTTAACTTCCATGGCTCAAAGCTATGGAATCATGGGGAAATGTAACTTGATTTATTTATCGTGTAATTAGTAACCAGACATTTGTATTACATTTTTAACAAAAACAAACAGACAAAACACAGAATTTGCAAGCTTGGTAGTTGATTAAATGTCCTTTGACCAGTAGCTGGCCACTTGGAGTGACTCTGGTGTTGCCGCAAGAAGGTCCTCCAGTGTGCATGCGCCAGGGCTCAGGTTGCATTGCAGCAGGTGGTCTGTAGTTTGCTATTCTCCACACTTGCATGTCGTGGATTCCACTTTGTAGCCCCATTTCTTAAGATTGGCTCTGCATCTCGTGGTGCCAGAGCGCAGTCTGTTCAGCTCCTTCCAAGTCGCCCAGTTTTCTGTGTGCCCAGGGGGGAGACTCTCATTTGGTATCAGCCATTGATTGAAGTTCTGGGTTTGAACCTGCCACTTTTGGACTCTCGCTTGCTGGGGTGTTCCAGGGAATGTCTCTGTAGATCTTAGAAAATTATTTCTTGATTTAAGTCGTTGACGTGCTGGCTGATACCCAAACAAGGGATGGGCTGGAGATGTCACTGCCTTGGTCCTTTCACTATTGGCTGCTACTTCCAGGTGGATGTCAGGTGGTGCGATACCAGCTAGACAGTGTAATTTCTCCAGTGGTGTAGGGCACAGGCACCCCATGATAATGCGGCATGTCTCATTAAGAGCCACATCCACTGTTTTAGCATGGTGATATGTGTTCCACACTGGTCATACATACTCAGCAGCAGAGTAGCATAGCGCAAGGGCAGATGTCTTCACTGTGTCTGGTTGTGATCTCCAGGTTGTGCCAGTCAGCTTTCATATTATATTGTTTCTAGCACCCACTTTGTGCTGCAGGCAGTGCTTCTTGTAGGTCAGAGCATGGTCCAGAGTGATTTAGGTGTGCTGCAAAACTTCAGTGGGATTCCTTCCCAGGTGATCCTCAGAGCTTGGGATGCTTGTCTGTTCTTAAGGTGAAAGGCACATGTCTGTGTTTTAGATGGATTAGGGATCAGCTGGTTTTCCCTGTAATAGGCAGTAAGAGCACCTAGAGCTTCGGAGAGCTTCTGTTCAACCATCTCAAAGCTCCCTGCTTGAGCAGTAATGGCACGATCATCAGCATAGATGAAACTCTCTGTCCCTTCTGGCAGTGGCTGGTCATTTGTGTAGATGTCGAGCATGGATGGGGCAAGCATGCTTCCCTGAGGCAGGCCGTTCTTCTGTTTCTGCCATCTGCTTCTCTGGCCCAGGAACTCAACAAAGAAGTTCCTGTTTTGTAGCAGGTTTCCTATGAGGCAGGTGAGACGGTAGTCCTTTGTGATATTATCCATTTTTCTCAGGAGGAGGCGGTGGTTTACGGTATCATAAGCCGCTGACAGGTCTATGAAGACAGCTCCTGTGATCTGCTGCCTTTCAAAGCCATCTTCTATGTGCTGAGTTCAGCACTTGCGATGTGCAACTTTTGCCTTTCCTGAAGCCAACTTGCTGTGGAATCAGACATGCGTCTATGATAACTTGATAAGGCACCAGCACTCTTTGGCTGGGATGGATATAGACTTTGCAGAACTATGACTCCCAGGACTTTGAATGAGAAAATGTAGGAGAAACTTCAAGTTGTATCTAGATTATGTCTTGACTGTTTGTGCCTCCTTTCCTCAGGCCATGCGTTGCTCTCCAGGTGGTTGACTCTCTATGATCCCAACAACCTCAATGCTGGACTAAGGGGCTACGTGAAAGTCAACCTTTGCGTCTTAGGACCTGGTGATCGTGTGCCGGTAATAATTATATACTTGTTTTCATCCCAGAGAAAAGCAATGCATCTGAAAGGAGTGCTGGAGGAGAATTCTTCAGATACCATTGTCATGAATACCGTTTGAATCTTAAAATGTTCTTTAATCTGTTTTCAGTGGGAAGTGCATCAGGCACTTTCAGGGAAAGAAGTACTGAGTCTGTGTGCCTACTTCTTTCCCTGAAAGCTATATTGGTTATGTCAGTGTTTCTCAACTTTCCTAATGCCACGGCCCCTTAATACATTTCCTCATTTTGTGGTGATCCCCAACCATACAATTATTTTAGTTGCTACAGTCTCACTTATCCGACATAAACAGGCAGGCAGAACATCGGATAAACGAAAATGTCGGAAAATACAGAGTCTACTATTGAAAAAGGCAAGACGAGGAGGAGGAGGGGAGGAGGAAAGAGGGAAAAGAAGCAGGACCAGAAGCAGAAGCATTCTCCCTCCTTCCCTCTGTGATTTTCATGTTCCTCTTCTGCATATGGGCAATTCCTGCTGGGCTGCTCAAGCCCCGAAGCATTGCTTTGCCTTAACCATTTGAGTCCCCGTTGTTAGTATTCTAGGTGTCTAGTGCCATATTGTACCAGTAACAATAGAAGACCCTTTATTTTGTTTATCCGACATTCTGCTGGCCCATTTATGTCAGATAAGCGAGACTCTACTGTACTAAAATTTGAGGAATTGCCTTTCTCTATCTTATGCCGGAGCCCCCGGTGGCACAGTCGGGGCGGCTCAACCCATTACGCAAAGTAAGCATTTGCAGTATAGTCGATTTTGCCCAGGGGCACTCTTGAGGCGCTCTTGGAGGAAAATAGACCTTGACATATGCAAGTTGTAGTTGATGGGATTTATAGTTCACCTACAATCAAAGAGCATTCTGAACTCCACCAATGATGGAATTGAACCAAATATGGCACACAGAACTCCCACGATGAACAGAAAATATATATCAGTGATTGGTGTGGGGGGGGGGGGGCAAAATACTGTTTGCTTACCGTTGAAAATTACCTTGGACCGCCTCTGGGCACAGTGGGTTAAACCCCTGTGCCAGCAGGACTGAAGACCGACAGGTCGCAGGTTCGAATCCGGGGAGAGGCGGATGAGCTCCCTCTATCAGCTCCAGCTTCTCATGCAGGGACATGCCTCCCACAAGGATGATAAAAACATCAATTCATCCGGGTGTCCCCTGGGCAACGTCCTTGCAGATGGCCAATTCTCTCACACCAGAAGTGACTTGCAGTTTCTCAAGTCGCTCCTGACACACAAAAAAATCTTATGCTTTTCTCCACAACATATTTATGCCAACAATGGTTTTCTGCTTTACTGGTAATTAAAAGCAAGTCCAGAAATCGATTGAAAGTAAGTGATGATATGCATGTACTTTTGAGCAATAATATTAGCCCTAGAATTACTTGTAAAGAAGATGCAAGCTCCAAAATTACATTGAGCAAACCAATTTAATTTTCTATTAAAATATTCTTTCTAATATTGTAATAGTACTCTTAATTAATATTACTATTAAGCTTAATGAATATGTTAAAAGTTTTGATTAACGTTTATTTTGAGATTAACAGTTTATTATTCTTGAACCTTGTGGTCCCGGCTAACCTAAAAAAAAAAAAATCAAAGGCTTCCCTGGTCAAAGAAAGGTTGGGAACCACTGTTCTAATTCTTTATTATAACATGTTTTTGAATGTACAAAAGTGATTCAAAAGTTACTCTTTCATTAGGCAATTTCTCAGTCTCAAGTTAACTTCGTCAGCAACAAGAACTTGTCAAATTAATAGACATTCAACAAGGAAAGAGTGAGGCATCCAAAAGTGAAGGAAGGCTGGATTTTTCCATTTTGGTCTCTGTTCTCTCCATAGGACACAGACTTTGTGGCTGAGAAGGGTGATACAGAAGCCATGCTTTTACGGCCAGCAGCCATGCCGTCCGGCCGCTTGGTCACCCTCCAGCTTTACGTCTTCCAAGCCCAAGATATGCCTCAAAGTGAGTCATAGTACAGCCTCTCCATCCCATAACAGGGCATATCTTAGTACCAAGGGGCACATTTAATACCTTAATGGATGGGGCTCGGGATTTCGGAAACGTCGTGCCCAAAGGCCCAAGCATGATGCCACAAGGCGGACTTGGGAAACTACCATCTTTTGCCCATAGAAAAGAATTTGAGCACTTTTGATGCTCGGCTTCCTCTGCAGTGAATGAAGACCTTGTGAATTATGGCAGAGCGGAAGACCCCACTGGAACCTCTGTAGACTCCTGTCTGGAAGTCAATTTTGCAGGAAAAGTGGTGAGTAAAATGCATTATTATTGTTTTCTTAGACTTTAGAATCATAGAATCAAAGAGTTGGAAGAGACCTCATGGGCCATCCAGTCCAACCGGCCTACCAAGAAGCAGGAATATTGCATTCAAAACACCCCGACAGATGGCCATCCAGCCTCTGTTTAAAAGCTTCCAAAGAAGGAGCCTCCACCACACTCCGGGGCAGAGAGTTCCACTGCTGAACGGCTCTCACAGTCAGGAAGTTCTTCCTCATGTTCAGATGGAATCTCCTTTCGTGTAGTTTGAAGCCATTGTTTCGTCCTAGTCTCCAGGGAAGCAGAAAACAAGCTTGCTCCCTCCTCCCTGTGGCTTCCTCTCACATATTTATACATGGCTATCATATCTCCTCTCAGCCTTCTCTTCTTCAGGCTAAACATGCCCAGCTTCTTAAGCTGCTCCTCATAGGGCTTGTTCTCCAGACCCTTGATCATTTTAGTCGCCCTCCTCTGGACACATTCCAGCTTGGACACAATATTCCAGGTGTGGTCTAACCAAGGCGGAATAGAGGGGTAGCATGACTTCCCTAGATCTAGACACTATGCTCCTATTGATGCAGGCCAAAATCCCATTGGCTTTTTGTAAAACTCTACAGTCCAGTATTTTGTGCTTTAAAAAGCTGTATCACACCTGTTCCGTCTTCCAGGAGCATAGTTTGCATTACCTTTTAGTTGCATGGGATAGTGTTCTTTGGCATTTCCCCAGGGCTGCTACAGACCCAGCAGCACCCTGGAAGTTAAAGCAGTATCAGAGTCTGCAAAGCCAGACTGCATACCCTCTGCAGTTATTGGTTTAGAATAGTATCTCTTTGGGTCTAGAGACCGCCCTTTTTCCAGGGGATGAGATCTCCATTTTGGAATCTCCCCTGCCTCCTTCAGTAGAGAAAGAAAGCTTCAGGTGTGCTGTTGGTCAACTAGGTAGCTCTGAAAAAAATCATTGTAAGTATGATTGAGTGATTGAGTTATATAGATAAAGAAGCTAATTGAGTTAGAGATAGCAATTGAGTTATAGATAGCAATTGTGTTATAGATAGCAATTGAATTATAGATAGCAATTGAGATATAGAAAAGCTATTGAATATTATTGATCAGTACTTCATCTCCAAAGCTAACCTTGAGCTATAGATAGGGGAAAACCTGTTTTTCTAACCATAGCAGCTCAGGGTTAGGGTGAAAGGATCCCAGGATATTTTCTACCTTTTGGTGAAGAGTTACCTCAGAAACTGAAGAAAAAAGAAAGATCATCTCTATGGTTTCACCAATTGACTTTTGTTTGTAACTCTGACAAGCTGTGCCAAGTCTGCAAGGACTTTGAGAAATAAATATTCTGTTTTGGTGTTCAAAACCTGTAGTAGGCCCAGTTGCTGGGAATCTCAAGCTTCTAAAGAAAGGCCCCCGCGGTCCGCCCAGACAAAGAGAGAAGCACATCTTAGTTTTATTTTTATAGGATCTGGGTGTGACGGCACAACACCTATGGATGTTTCCCCCCTCAATGCACAATGGCTGTACCCAACTGATGGCAGCCTACGTAGAGTTGTGCATGTGGTACCACCATGCATTATGTACAAAGAGTGTTATTATTACACTATGTAGTAACAATTGAAAAAGGTTCTGTTCCTGGTTTGAAGATGTTATTTTCTGTGGTACTTAATTTGCAAGTAATTGTTGTATTCCAGAAACTTTGTTATGTGGCCTTCTCTTTTCTTATCTGCTCTCTCCTTTGGTCCACATTATCAGCTCAGTACCAGCATCGTGTTTGGAGATGCCAACCCCATCTGGAACCAGCGGATGTCCTTTCCCATGCTGGTGAGCAAGCAGAATTTATTGGAAACTGGGATTAGAAGAGGGAAAATAAACTGCCATCACTGGGAAATAGGGCTGAAAGGATTGCCTCTTCCCATATTAGCTTGTCCTATTGCTCATCCAATTTATTGGGTTTTTTAAAATTTTTCAAGCAATAATGGATCAATGGATTGTTATGCTTCAGGGCTTTATAAACTGGAGCATTGCAAACTTGGGAGATTGTACCTTAATATTGTGATAGGACTGCCCTTGGGCAGAGTTACATGAAAGCTTGCTTCTGATATCCATTATTTTCCAAGCAATTTCCAAAGATTTGATTGGCCAGAGGATAGATAGGAAGTTTCAAAATGTCACAGATGCTTCTCAACCTTCCTAATGCCGTGACCGCTTAATACAATTCGTCATGTTGCGGTGACCGCCAACTATAAAAATATTTTAATTGCTACTTCATAATTGTAATTTTGCTACTGTTATGAATCGTAATGTAAATATCTGATAGGCAGTATGTATTTTTATTCACTAGTGACTAGACCAAATTTGGCACAGATACCCAATACACCCAAATTTGAATACTGGTAGAGTTGAGGGGGTTGATTTTGTCATTTAAGAGTTGTAGTTGCTGGGATTTATAGTTCACCTACAATCAAAGAGCATTCCGAACTCCACCAACAACGGAATTGAACCAGACTTGGCACACAGAACTCCCATGACCAACAAAAAGTACTGGTAGAGTTTGGTGGGCATTGACCTTGAGTTTTAGAGTTGTAGTTCATCTCTATCCAGAGAGCACTGTGGACTCAAACAATGATGGATCTGGACCAAACTTTGCATGAATCCTCAGTATGCTGACATGTGAACACTGGTGGGGTTTGGGGAAAATAGACCTTGATATTTGGAAGTTGTAGTTGCTGGGATTTATAGTTTATCTACAATCAAAGAGCATTCTGAACCCCACCAACAATAGAATTGGGCCAAACTTCTCACACAGATCCACATGCATTGAAGGGACTCACTGGCAGAAGCCTCCCTTCAGCCTTGCATGCTCTCCCTCGCTCACGCATGTGTACCATGCTGCCATGCGTTGAGCACGCCTGCTCTCCCCTTCCCATTAGGCTCAGAACCAGCCATCTCCTTGGCTGAAAACCGGCCAATCACAGTGGAGGAGGGCGTTTGGTGGGAGGATTCGCCCTCTCCCAAAAAGAGAAGGGCAGCCAGAGAGATCTTCAGCCTTCTCTGCTAAAGGGGTTCCTAAGACGATCAGAAATATATGTTTTCTGATGGTCTTTGGCGACCCCTCTGAAACCCCCTCATGACCCCCGCCCCCCAGGGATCCCGCCCCCCAGGTTGAGAAACGCTGTACTAAATGGAGATGCAGGGATTTTCTTAACCACCCTCTCTTTTCTTTGCAGATGCCATCCATATGTGACCTCATAAAACTGTCCGCTATTGATGGGTGAGCACTGATGTTTGAGTCCTATCCCAAGCACAAATTATCTCAGCCAATCAAATTTACAGTGATTGATCCTTAGGCTACATCTACACTGCAGAATCAATGCAGGTTGGCACCATTTTAACTGCCACAGCTCAATGTTATGGAAATTCTGGGAGTTGTAGTTGAGTGAGGCACACACCCCACTTTGGCAGTGAAAGCGAAAGACCTTATGGAATGACAACTCCCATAATTCCATAGCATTGTGCCATGGTGATTCAAGTGATGCCAAACTCCATTCATTCTATAGTGTTGCTGCACCCTTGGACAAGTAGTATTGGATAGGACCCCCTGAAGGCTATCTAGTCCAACCACCTGCCACTGCAGGAATGCAACGGTACAGGATCCCATCCCATCTCACTTTAACAACTTTCATAATGGAGACACCATCACCATTCCAGAATGTATTTTCTATCCTTTAAAAGGCAAATAAAGGAGTCCTGAAGCAAATCAAGCATGAACTCTCTGTCAGAAATATTAAACATTAACTGGGTATTTTCTATTACAAAAGTGAGTCAAGCACTGAAAGGGTTAGTAGACCAAAGCCTGTTAGAGTCAGTGGGCCAAAGCTAGTGTCGTCCTGAGGAGAGTGAGTAGGCCAAAGCCTGTTAGAGTCAGTGGGCCAAAGCTAGTGTCGTCCTGAGGAGAGTGAGTAGGCCGAAGCCTGTTAAGAGTCAGTGGGCCAAAGCTAGTGTCGTCCTGAGGAGAGTGAGTAGGCCGAAGCCTGTTAGAGTCAGTGGGCCAAAGCTAGTGTCGTCCTGAGGAGAGTGAGTAGGCCGAAGCCTGTTAGAGTCAGTGGGCCAAAGCTAGTGTCGTCCTGAGGAGAGTGAGTAGGCCGAAGCCTGTTAGAGTCAGTGGGCCAAAGCTAGTGTCGTCCTGAGGAGAGTGAGTAGGCCGAAGCCTGTTAGAGTCAGTGGGCCAAAGCTAGTGTCGTCCTGAGGAGAGTGAGTAGGCCGAAGCCTGTTAGAGTCAGTGGGCCAAAGCTAGTGTCGTCCTGAGGAGAGTGAGTAGGCCGAAGCCTGTTAGAGTCAGTGGGCCAAAGCTAGTGTCGTCCTGAGGAGAGTGAGTAGGCCGAAGCCTGTTAGAGTCAGTGGGCCAAAGCTAGTGTCGTCCTGAGGAGAGTGAGTAGGCCATAGCCTGTTAGAGTGAGTGGGCCAAAGCTCGTGTCGTCTTAAGCAGAGTGAGCAGGCTGAAACCTGTTAGAGTCAGTGGGCCAAAGTTAGTGTCGTCCTGAGGGGAGTGAGTAGGCCAAAGCCTGTCAGAGTCAGTGGGCCAAAGCTAGTGTCGTTCTGAGGAGAGTGAGTAGGCCGAAGCCTGTTAGAGTCAGTGGGCCAAAGCTAGTGTCGTCCTAAGCAGAGTGAGTAGGCTGAAACCTGTTAGAGTCAGTGGGCCAAAGTTAGTGTCGTCCTGAGGAGAGTGAGTAGGCTAAAACCTGTTAGAGTCAGTGGGCCAAAGTTAGTGTCGTTCTGAGGAGAGTGAGTTGGCCGAAGCCTGTTAGAGTCAGTGGGCCAAAGCTAGTGTCCTCTTAAGCAGAGTGAGCAGGCTGAAACCTGTTAGAGTCAGTGGGCCAAAGCTAGTGTCGTCCTAAGCAGAGTGAGTAGGCCGAAGCCTGTTAGAGTCAGTGGGCCAAAGCTAGTGTCGTCCTGAGGAGAGTGAGTAGGCCGAAGCCTGTTAGAGTCAGTGGGCCAAAGCTGGCGTTGTCCTAAGCAGAGTGAGTAGGCTGAAGCCTGTTAGAGTCAGTGGGCCAAAGCTAGTGTCGTCCTGAGGAGAGTGAGTAGGCCTACGCCTGTTAGTGTTTGAAGCTATTGTTCCGCATCCTAGTCTCCAAGGCAGCAGAAAACAAGCTTGCTCCCTCTTCACTATGACTCTCCCTCACCTCTTGATCCATGACCCGCATCATGTCTCCTCTCAGCCTTCTCTTCTGCAGCCTAAACAGGCTCAGCTCTTTAAACCACTCCTTATAGGGCTTGTTCTCCAGACCCTTGATCCTTTGAGCCGTCCTTTGGACACCTTCCAGCTTAGAGACGAGTCAACATCTCCATTAAATTGCAGTGCCCAGAATTGGACACAGTGTGATTCCAGGTGTGGTCTGACTAAGGCAGAATAGAGGGGTAACATGACTTCCTTGGATCTAAACAGGGAAGATCTAGATTTATGCAGGCCAATATCTCATTGGTGTTTTTGCCACCGCAAAAAATAAATCAATGGGATTTGTTGCTTTTTACTTAACGAAAAAGTAACAAAACAAATTGTTATAGTTATGATATGGACCCCTTACAATATTTTACAAACACTTTAGAAATGATTTATGATGTATACATTGAGTTTATGTAATTATCTTCACATTACCACAATCAGTGGATTTTATTTATTTATTTATTTATTGCATTTGTTAACCGCTGCTCTCAGCCCTAGGGCGACTCGCGGCGGTGTACAACATATAAAAACAGTATACAATAGAGCACAACAAAATCAACAATTCACTAATACACACTAACTAATTTACACTAAACTAATCCGCGTCGTCACACATAGAATCATAGCCAATCTCATAGACCGTATTCCGTTCCACTTGTCATTACCCGTTTGTATAGCACTCAATTAAATGCCTTTCCAAATAGCCAGGTCTTTAGGCTCTTACGGAAAGCCAAAAGGGAGGGCGCCTGTCTGATTTCAACAGGGAGGGTGTTCCACAGCCGGGGGGCCACCACCGAGAAGGCCCTTTCTCTCGTCCCCGCCAGACGTGCCTGTGAGGCAGGCGGGATCGAGAGAAGGGCCTCCCCAGACAATCTTAAGGCCCTCGTGGGCTCATAGGCCGAGATGCGGTCCGATAGGTATTTTGGGCCGGAACCGTTTAGGGCTTTGTAGGATAACACCAGCACCTTAAATTGGGCCCGGTAGCAGATCGGCAGCCAGTGGAGCTGGGACAACAAGGGCGTTGTGTGCTCCCTGCGTCCCGCTCCCGTTAGTAACATGGCTGCCGCGCGCTGGTCTCCACAGTTTTAAATAAAGCCATGGTCTCTGCCAAATCCCGCAACTCCTACGTTTTGTTTTCTAGGGATAGAAGTGGAGATGGGCAAATTCTAGGGTTCGCCTTTCTGAGCCTCTCCCAGATCTCTTGCAGCGGAACTGAAATTGAGAACAAAAGTACGTTTCCTCTCCCTTCCTGCATCTTGGCTAGTTAAAGTCAAATTTAGTTGCCATACAGAGCAACCCATAAAGGCTAAAATTATATCACATTGAGTTTTTGGATTTCAGAGGACTTCTCAGGCTTCCAGCCATGTTTTGGGCCAAGTTTTCTCACCTTGTATGGGAACCCAAAGGAGTTTGTGGCCGAAGGAGATGCTTTAGAGAACTTCAGCGTTGGGGCGGTGAGTCTGCCTCCTGCATGGGTCCATCATGTAAACCTAAACTGGTTTTCAGAGGCATGGGACATCCAAAATGGGAGTAAAAGGTCCCTGCTTCATCTCCTCTCCTTACCGCAGATGTTTTGCATTTTGTATCTATCTTTTAGGAGGAAGGGATTGCTTACCGAGGAAGAGTTCTTGTGGAGCTGAGCATCAAAACGGAGAAGCTTGTTGTTCCCAAAATCGAAAACATACCCGAAGAGTCAGTTAAAAGGATTGAGGTAAACATGCAATGAAATGCATCTGGTGTGAAAAGAAGCATGGATAGTGTCCCATGTGATAAAGGAGTACCAGAGGTTGATAGTTTAACTGATGATTTAGAGAAGATTGTGAGCTTTCCTGTGACACAAAGTGATGGGCTCTCAATTCTGGGAAATTCAAGTCTGAGAAATTATGGTTCTCTCTTTGAGAAAACTGTAGCAACAGTAGATAAAGAATCGAGTGAAGAGCAGAGTGATAAGGAGGGTTCCCAGGAGAACCCACCTGGAGCTAAGGAGGTTAACAAAAGTCTTTGTTTAGAAATCAGAGCTGAAAATAGATTATGTGGTTCAAAGAGAATACGTGGGAAAGTTGTGATGGAAGTTCATGGGAAACGGAATGATTTCATGGATGTCTATTTAGCAACAAGTTGTTTACCTTAAGTTCAGTTCAGGCAACACTGCATTTTTTCTATGTAAATTTTTATTGAATGCTTTTCTGGTTCTACAGATAAAATCTGGGTGGTGGGGAGGAGCAAGGAAGGAATGGGGACTTATCTACATGGGGGGGGGTACACACATGAGGGAAAGAGAGGTTGTGGGAAGGGGAGGAAACATCTTGACTTCTGTAAAGGATTAAGGGCTGCCTTATTATGAATTTCTCCACTTGCCACCAATATAACGTAACAAGGTAATCCTCCTGATGACCTAACACCAGATATCAATGTATGTCGCGCAGCTGGACACCACTATACAGGATTATATGTAATCTCACACTACTGGACAAAAGTGTGGAGGAATCAGGTCCCAGCTGATCTATATTGGTAGCGCTATGATGTTAGATGTGTGTACTGGTAGAGCGAACACTGCTTCTGTCTTCCTTTGATATAATGCTGCCACCACCCAAGATGTGTCGAGAAATTTAAAAATGAGTTTCTGAGGTAACCTTTTCCCTTCCCTGCCAACACAGCTCCCCCTTAGCTCCCAGAAATGACCGCTTGGATAAGAGACCTTTCTGTGATATTAACATGTTAAACTGACTAGAAATTCCACTCAAGAATTACTGGAAAAATGAGTAACGACAGAGGCTTCTTCAAAGTTAAATAGAGAAAAAATTTATTCATAAGAACAAACAGACAACTGACTTCTTCTTTTAAGAGGCACAAATGCTTGACTTGTTACTATAGTACAATATCTTAATGGTTACTTAAAAAGAGTTCCTTCACTTGGTTACAAACAAAATTCCTCACTCTACTTCAGCGAAATAGCAATGAGTCCCAGACTAGCCTATCTCAGGCTGTCTTTCAGAGCAATTAGCTAACTCTCACCAGAGTCCTTTACAGCTAATTTACTCAAACTAGAGAGCAAACCCTTTGTGTTGTCACCCACGAGGAATCAGGAGGCTATTTAACCTTACTTGCCAATTATGCAGCCCTGCCTGACACAAACGCTCTCTCTCAGAAAAAAACCCAGTCTCAAAACCACTTCTTCTTCCTTCAGTTCCCAAATTCCCAACTCTCTTCTCTCTCAGAAGCGGAAACTTTTTCCCTCCCAAGACTTGGCTCCTCCCATCTGCTCTAGCCAATCCCAGGAGACCTCAAACTCCTCCCATCTTCTGTCTATCCACTCTCAAGATGGCTGCTTCCCTGGCTTACACTCCTGAAATGGATGTTTGCCTCACTGTTATCCCAGGCTTCTACTCCGGCCTGCTAGGTAAGAGTCATTACAGCTTCCCATTCTAATTCTCCATGTGTTCCAAGAAATAAATTGGCGAAGTAGGGACAGAACTCTCAGTTCCTTTCTACATCTTTGGCTTCTCTTCTGCTCGTAGTCAAATTTACTCTGTTTTCTTCTTCACTCTAGGTTTTACTTCCGTAGATTTGTTTTTTTTTTATTGTGATCACTTTCCCTTGTAATTCTCTCTTAATGTTCAATCAGCTATTCATCAAATAGTTTTCAATCTGTTTTCTTTATTGGTCTTCCTTTTGATCTATCTTAAAGAATCAAAAAGTCAGCTTGTCCATGTCTCTTATTTCGCTGGCCTTAACTAGCCAATTTTCTTAGACAACGCTGCATTAGAGTGAGAAGCTAAGCCTGGGTTCTTTTGTTCCTGGTTCGGGTCAAGCTTTGATTTTTGATTTAATATATCCTGGAAGTTTTCTGTGTTCCTGTTCATGTACTCCTGTTCACGTTTTACTAATTATACCTTCTGGGTGGTGATTTATGCTGTATCTGTATTTCTGGCTGTTCCTAGACTTTGTCACCTCTGGATCTTTATGAGACATTTGGATTATTGTCTGGTTATCACCTGTTGCTAAACTTTTTTGGATTAAAATTCTTTCTTATTCCTGTTTTTTATATGCTTTTTATATGTTTTTACAATAAACTGTTTGCTTATATTCCTGGACTCTTCTGTGGTGTGGTGGTGTTGTGTGGTGTTTCCAGGCCTGAAGTGCAACACATTTACTTATTTAAAATATTAACACCCTTTTAAGAGTAAGGACTTTTTTTCATGTCAGGAGTGACTTGAGAAATTGCAAGTCGCTTCTAGTGTGAGAGAATTGGCTGTCTGAAAGGACATTTACCAAGGGACACCCGGATGTTTTGATATTTTACCATCCTTATAGGAGGGTTATCTCATGTCCCTGCATGGGGAGCTGGAGCTGACAGGGAAGCTCATCCGCGCTCCCCCCAGATTCGAACCTGCGACCTGTCGGTCTTCAGTCCTGCCGGCACAAGGGTTTGACCCATTGCGCCACCGGGGGATCGGGGTGAGGACTGAAATAACAACATTACAGTATCCTCCCAGTGGGACAGGGAGTTTGGATGAGCCCCGAAACTGAGCAGAAAGACAAACAGGCAACAAACAAGAGCTTTAGTCAAAGTATCCACCAAATCCTTTTGGAAGGAAAGATTCCTTTGGGGTCCAAGAAGTGAGATACGTTTATTGAATG